TGGGCAAATTTCTTTGCGATATTTATTAATGAAACCGGAGTAGCATTTTCTAGTCGGTTTGCCGTCTTTGAATAGACTACGATGGTTTGATTCTTTTAAATAGTTTTCAACAACAATAAACACGTCTTTTCTATTCAAGCCGAAGCCTATATCACTCATAAACTTTAATAAATCAACAATAATAGCTTCAGTGATGTTGCTCATCTTTCTTGGCGCTCCTCGATTATTAGATGATCCTTTTGTTCTGTCAAAAAGTGTAGGTTTTGCCACATTACAACACTTAGCAGCTTGTACATATGACTTTTTTTTTTCAGTAATAGCTTGAATAGCTAGCTGGATTCGACTCTCTCGCTCTTCTTTTTGTTTAAAATTATCCATATTCTTTAATACAGTAATACAATTAACACAAATGCGTTAACTTAATGGATGCTAAAAAAAATAGCTGTATCTGGATTAGTCTCAATTATTTTTTCCCTTGTGGCTATTTTATTTTTTATTACTTTAAGGTGGTAGTATGGTCAAAATTCTAAAATCATTTTTTTAACCAAACAGTATTGATTTCATAAAATATTAAAAGACTGCATAAAAACATAAAAATAAAAAATAAAAAAAATTAAAATTTCACATTTAGACCCAGGTTTTGGGTTGTGAAAAAATCAGTCAAAAGGTGCTGCGATAAATATTGAGACAATGGTAGATGCTATAAAACTCAAACTTTCAGTGTTTACTTGTATTATATTAAAGAACTCATGGAAGCAGAATTATAAAGTAAGCTTAAAGCACCAAGGAGATACAGCATATACAACTAACGGGTCAAATTTTACCCCCAAACAGCCCCCTTTAAAAGTCCATAACTCTGTCAAAATAAAATATCAAAAAAAATATACTGCTTCAATGATTCTGTCATATATATTATTACAACTGAACAAAATTTTAAAGAACCATAACAAGTAGTTCCCAAGTTATTTATCGCACCGTGCTAAAAAATGTCGTTCTGAGAAAACAGCAATTTAAAAAAATTAACATCGAAAAAAACAAATTAAAATATAAATAAGCTCTCATTCTATTTTTAAAGATTTCTAATCACTCAATGTATTAACTAACAACAATATTAATAAACTAAGTTTATAATGAGTTTTAACTAATTTATAATAAAAAGAGTAAAAAGTGTTCAAAGTACAATAAAGAAGTTAGTATCCTTGTTAAAAGAAATATAAAAACTTTGAACTAAAAAAAAAAAAAATTATGATAATCAAATTTAAATTTTTAAAATAAGTAGTTATATCAATTGAAATATAACAAAACCACTCAAAACTGCCAGAGCTTTAAGCTACTTCTTCACTTTCTTCATATTGATCACTAAAATCTTTTTATTTTGCCCTTATTTGTTTCTGACATTGCTTTACCTCATCAGTCAATTTTTTTTTTAGCAATATTTTTAACTATTTGACTATCTCTTTGTTTGCAAAATGTAATATAGTTTTTGTTAGGATTTATACCAAGCTCTAAATAAACATTTAACAAACCAGCTAATCCTTCATTGAATTTAATAACAGCTGATGCTGCACCTTTCTCTAAAGCAATTTGCCCCACACAAACATTTTTGGACTTCGATTCCAAATTATTGCATTTAAGGCTTCATTATTGTTTTGAGTTTTTCCATGAAGGTACTTTTTTAACAAGCTTTTATCTGATAATCTATGAATACTGGTTATGTCCCTGATAACAATAGGCAGTCCAGGTTTTTCTTTATTAACATATGGTTTATCAATTTTATATCCTTTATATTTGCAATTAGTTGGAGGACACATAGCATGTCTTACATCAGAAGATAATAACTCAGAGTAGTTAAATAATACAGCTTCAATAGCTTTTATTAGTTTATTAACAGATTTCCCACAACATTGACAAATCACAATTCCAAAATAATTTTGTAACATTGCAACTACTGAATGTAATTTTATATCGAAAAACTTTTCAGAAGTTTTACTTGCAACTTTTTTACTAGTATACAATTTTGTTTACCATAAAATTTTAATGCAACTCAATAGCAACAAAGAACTTAAACCTTTTTTATTTTTATGATCTATATTAATATTGATTGAATTGCTCTCACAGTCAGGGCATGTTCCAACTAAGGTAAGAGTTTGTGCAATTATATTAAGATCAATTAAAACAAAATTAGACTCCTTTTTTCTAACTTTAGGTAGTTTACTTTAGGTTCATTATTGGCAATAACATTGCTGGTTGATGTTGTAAAGTTACGTAAAATGCTAAATTTTTAGCATTTCTATCAATTAATGCATGAAGTATCTTTATTTTGGGAAAAAAATTGTCAAACTTAATTTTTTGAAGTGCTTTTTCTTTTTTTAAACACTCTTGAGGCACCAGTTTTTCTTCTTCTTAAAACTTCAGTTTTTATATTAATTGATTAGAAATAATAAATTTATTTTAATCTACACTTAATAGTTTATAAAATAACAATAAACAATCATACTCTAGATATATTCAACATTGTAACTAAAATAGATAACATGTGTTTATGTAATGATAGTCAACAAGATAACTGCTTATATAAGTGCTGGTTTAATGTTTTTACGGCAAAAAAAGAAGCCAAATTCACTTGGTAATTTCTCAAAACTTACTATAGAAAATACTTGCTTCAGGGAGTTCAATAAGATGATATACATGGTGTTTACCTTGTTGCTATGTCGTTGCTAAGGGGCAATAATCTATATTACTACTTTTTATATAAAAAATAGACGGTTTTATATAAAATACATCAAAAAATAAATAACACTATCGTTTTCAGCATGAATGAAAATGTCTTAAGAAGTTGTATTAAAAAAATCGAAAAATTGGAAATTTTTGACCATACTACCACCTTAATGAACATAATATATTTTATTATGTGCATGAAAGTGATAAAAAATAAAATAGCCAATTGTAATTAAGTGTATCCAGGACTCAAAAGTGTATTTGTTAATTGCTGCTGGCTAATTTGTTTATTATTTTTTTAGGTACATAAAATAATAATTACCTCTATCCGGAATTAGGTGTCTTTTTTTTTTGGCTGGTAGCAAATTTGTTTTTCAATTTTTTCAAAAGGTAATTTAATTTTTTTTTGGCTAAAATAATCAGCATAAAATTCTGCACAAAATAGTGTTTTTACTTTACTAAAACCATCCGGAATTAGGTTACATCCGGAATTAGGGGTTTTTACGTTATACTTGTTAAATTTTTAAAAAACTTTTTCGCGGAAACTTCAAAGACTTTTTGTTTTTGCGGTAACTTCAAAGAATTACTTTTGATCTACTTTTTTGATCAAATACTCCACTGTGCGTCGTCTCAATTTTTTTTTGGTTCTCTGAGTCTGTATAATGACAATAGCCGCAATCTGCAGACTTGATAATTTATTTCATGCACGTTTAAATCATAACAGTATCGGTATATGATGTCATCGTTTTTATTATTAATTTTTTAAGATTTCGTTGTATTTATTTTAAAGTTTTTCCCTCTACAATCAGCAAATCAAATATTTAAATAATATTTTACTAAATTCCAAAAAACATTTGTGATACAATTAAAAATAAAGTAATATCTTTCGTTTTTATATTATATTAGCACAACTTGTTTTTAATAACCGTGAAGATGATTTTTAAGTATAATATCTTTAAATTAGTTGTTTGCATAAAAGGTCGTCTTCAATATATGTGGATCTTGACCAAAATGATGTTCACTCAATATAAAAACGAGCTTGACGTCATAAGTTTATCAAAAAGTATTTCCACATAAAAAGTATAAAAATTCACAAACTTTATAATAGTAACTTTTTTCTATAAATACTTTCATCTTCAATTTAAAAAAATATATAAGGTAAAATCCATCTTTCCTTGTTAAATATTTACATTAGGTGGAATAAAAATAAATATTGCTAAGATATTTTTAATGATTAAGAATCACCTTTCTGGTTTTCGCATATTTTGCGGAAAACCTAAGTTGGGGCAACTAAGATTTGATAACATAGCTCTGTGCTTGATAGTTGAAAATTGGAACACTTAGCCATGAATGTCCATTTTATCAGATTACTACCTCGTCCTGGTAATTTTTTTTATAAAAAGACTGTTTTTGAAGCATTTATATTTTTTAGTTTATCGTTTTTAAATGCAAAATATAACTTTTTTGATGGATGACGTTATTAAAATTTCAACCTTTTATGCTAATGAAAATAAAAAAACTATTTTATATACTTTTAGCTATGTTATCAAATATGTTTTCGAACTTGGCTGGTTTAGAAAAAATTTATCTATTTTTATGCGTAAACTTTTAAATTTTTATCACGTGACCTCAAATACTTTACTAGTAAAATAATGCTGTTTACTGACTTTAATAATGCCTGTTTCAGTTAAAGTTTTTTGTTAAAGTTTTTTGTTGTATAAAATGTCTTAGCTTTGATAAAATGGCAAGAGATCTAATCAACTTATTAGAGATATCATTATAAGTCCAGGCTAAGCTATTGTCTAGCTTTATACTCAAGTAGTTTACAAATTTTTGCACTAAAGTTTTTCCCATTTAACTTAATTTTGAGCTGCTGGTCTAATTTTTTGTGATGACTTTTATTATATTGACTATATTACTAAATCAGTTTTTATAGAGTTTTTTTTGTAATTGACTTCCCCAAGGCCAACAAAAATTTGCGTATAGTTTGGCATTAACAGTTTTAACTTTAGTAGTTTTTAAGGTTTCTGGGAAAATACAACTTGACAAAAAGATATTTGAAATGTTAGAACAAATTCTTGAAAGTTTTTAATAGTTTTAAAATTTTAAACGATTGCTAAACAAATTTATTTTAATGACATTAAATTTAGAGTAGTTAGTTTAGCAGCAAACTTAAATTTGTTTAAAAAAAGTTTGTGAAATAAATTTTATTGTTATTATTCTTTGAAGTCTTTATATGTATACTAATTTATTTATAAGTATACCAGTTTATTTATATTTAGAAAATTGACAACTAATGCAAGCATTGGGAGAAACTTTTTTTGGAAAATGCTGTTTATGAAAAAAGGTATGTCCTAATCAAATTATTATATTAAAACTGTCTAGTAAGAGGATATTTCGTTACTGTTTAGAAACAAAATGGACTTTGAATATGAAGTTCAATATTTTGTTAAAACTGGAAAGAAAACTTTTATATACATCAGAAATTTTTGTGGAATCAGGACTCTTTGAGCATTAAAAGAAAGTATTTAATTCCCCATTATGTAAACAGTTTTGAGAAAAAATTAGACAAATTTTTATTTATTTATTTTATTTTCAATTTTCAGCTTTTGCTGAAAATTGAAAAAAATGATCAAAAGTTATATTTGTTAAATTGAAGTTATATTGTAGTATATTATCAAAAGCTTTCGAAGTGAGTTTCTAACTCACTTGCTGTTAAGGCAGCTACAGTTTGTCTAATACTATGATTATTATATATTTTCAAATGTAAGCATCAGTTTTTTCAGCAATTTTTAGTATTTTGCTGTAACTGATTTTATATATATATATATATATATATATATATATATATATATATATATATATATATATATATATATATATATATATATATATATATATATATATATATATATATATATATATATATAATATATATATATATATATATATATATATATATATATATATATATATATATATATATATATATAAACTCTGTTTTTTTCCAGTAACTCCCAACCTAATAGTTGTTGCTTGCCTTGTTGGGAGTGAATCAGAATTAAAAAAATTTGTAGAATACATTTAAAATTAATTTTATATATAAATCAGGGTGGTCACAGCTGGTCTAAAATCCTCTAAAGTCTTCTTTTTTTAAAAATCTCCTCTAAAATCCCTTATTATCCTCTAAAAAATGGAATATTTGTTTAAATCTTCTTTTTAACTTTTTTTATTTCTTGATGGAATGTTCTATGTTACAAATTCCTAATCTGCAAAACTGGTTAATGTCGTAAAGGGCATTGGGTTGTAAAAAATCAATTTAGGAAATCGATGTCATCATTGTTGTAGATAGTTTTATATATTGTTATATATTTCATGTTATGTAAAACTTCTTTAACATATATAGATTTATATTACATAGACACCCAAAAATTGAGACATATGTTGTCATCTATTCCAAATGTTTTAAAAAATTACCTTTAAGTATAAGTGTTTGTGAAACTACTGGCAACCTGCTTGTATGGCAAGATATAAAAGTCTCATTAACCAAAGTTTCAGGTAAACATCCTATAAGGTTATTTTTTATTGATAGATTTAAAAAAATAGATTATTTTTGAATGTATTTTAGCCTATGCTGATGTAATTTTGAAGTTGTGCAAGGGGGCAAGGAATTTAGACGTTATAGTACTTCACAGAAACTAATCTCAATATACTTCAAGAATTGATAACAAAAATAACTTTCAGAAGATTACCAATACTTTCTTCCTGCCATCTTTAAAATGTTTGAAAAATTAATTTACTGTGGATGAGTGAAATAAAAACGTTGTTTAAGAAGAATTTTTACTAAATTTATAAAGTGTTACTTTATAAGGCATAAAATTGGCAGTAATTTTTGTTTGACAATTGCTGTTTTCACAATTTTTTTTAGACTTAATCACTTTTGATTCAATTCAATTTATTAAAAAGTATAAAACAGTTTTAGACTTTAACGGTTGAAATTATTTTTTAAACTTCGTTGAAGAAACTGACATTGCTCTAGCATAAATTGAGATCGACCTGATGAAAGATGGTATTATTTATATATGTGATAATTAATAAAAGACAATTAGTTTTTAAATGATCAGATGAATGCTGGCCTTTATTATATGGCTTGTTGTGTATTATATTTTGTGCATAGTTAATGGAATAATATCAGTCTCTTTGTTCCAAAATTAAAATTTATGTTTCGCATAGTAAATTGGGTTTTCTTACTCTTTTGCATTTCCTTCGTTTTTGTTAAATATTGTTTTGCAAAATTTATTGTCTCTCTAATATAATATGAATGTGCAGCCAATATTTTTTAATTCGCATTTTTTATTTTTTATAAATAATAGAGCTTAAATATATTTATGGATTATTATACTATTGTTTAATAGCTTAATTGTTTTACTTTTTTTCCGTCGATATAGTCTTCGCCACTACATTAAATAAGTGACTACATAAAAATAAATGTATGGTTTTAGTAATCCCTGATGCGGCAGTATAACTCTTACTTGTTTTAGGTTAATTGAGCAAGGAATTTTCTCTAGAAAATCACCTAAACATGGGGAAATGTATGTTTTATAGATACAAAAAATCAAGAAACTGTTATCTAAATTCAGAAAAATGCTTGATATATTTGGAAATCAAATATTTGTTAGTATATTATCTAAAAATGATAACATTTGTAATCGTTTTTAGATAAAATGAAAATAAATTTTTATTTAACGTGGCTTTTTATAAACAGCAACCGTGAGGCAGTGATAATAATTATAACTCAGAACGAGGAGGTATAATGCCGGCTCTAACCCAATAACCGTCATTGGAAGGGAAGAAAACTTTCTAGATAAATGCTCCTCCGCTGTGTTCTATGATGAGAACTTTACGGCTTTTTGGAGAAAATTAACTACTAAAGAAAACTTTTAATTTACTGGCAACTTAGAAGGAAGGGTCATCCTGCTAAAATTTTGAAGTAGTGTAGTTCCGTTTACTGTTTAGGTCTCTCTGTTGACTTTAACCGCCACTGCTCATATTAGAAAAAAAACAGCATTCCGTACATTCTTTTTTACTGCACTCAAAATTTTTTCTTTGATGCCTTACCAATAGAAAAACATTTTTTTCAATAGATTCTAACACATAAATGGGTTGTAACAAAAAGCCAACTTAATTTTCTACAAACGTTTCCTTTCAAATTTACAGTTCTTAAGTCTTTGACCGTACTCAATCCTTTGATTAAATATTTTTGAGTAATTACTGCAGAGATGATTCATTAATTGATCCGCGCGTAATTTGAAACTTAAATGTTACTTTTTTCTGTTCAATTTGATTTGATTCAAAACAAGGATATATAAAAACTCTTTCAAAAGTCTTGAACTGAGACCAAAAAAGCTAAAAGTTACATTTTGTTCTGTCATTTACAATGTTTCAAAATGTTTTAGTCTTTTTAACATCGTCCACAATAGCTTTAAAAATATTTGTAAAAAATTCTAGTTATTAGTGAGGACCTTAAAAGATATCTAGCGTTAATGTTGCTCAGTAGGGTGCAGTGATAACATTAAATTTTTTTTTTTTTTTTGAAAGTCATTTTGCCTGAATGTGCAAAAGTTGTCTATTCATATCAGAAATACTCTGTAAAAATTTCAATGCTCTAGAAAATTATCTTGAGGTGCCTTAAGGATTTTGAAATCCCCAAAAAGTGAGCAACGGAAAAAAATTTAGAAAATTTTTTTTTGATTGAAATTCATTTTGCCTGGGTGTGCAAAAGTTGTCTATTCATATCTGAAATACTCTGTAAAAATTGCAATGCTCAGGTAAATTATCTTGAGGTGCCACAAGGACTTTGAAATTCCCCAAAATCACCAAAAAGTTAGAAATTACAATTATTATTAAATTCATTTTTTCACAAAAAAATCAATGGGTAAAAATGAACAGATCTTGTTTTTTGATTTCTATTATAATAAACCTGTATGATGGTTTTAACATCATATCAGAACCTAATGAAAATATATTTATGTAAATTGTAGAACTTTGAGGTGCCACAAAAATTAAGAATAACAATTATTTCAAGTTTATAAGTGAAAACCCGGACTGTTGAACGATACGAGTTCAAATCCCGTCACCGCCAACTCAGCGCTTGTGTAGTACTTCGGTACGCAAAAATGTTGGTCAATAACGGGCGCTACTTTGGATTAGTCTTAATAACTATTTGTGGCTGTTCCTATGCTAAGCCAACAATATCTTCGGATATAAAACATTGCATAGAAAAATATAGCATGAAAACTCAAATAAATAAAAATAAAAATAAAAACAAATAAAAATAAGCTGAGTCGATTCAATTGATCTGAGCATTGGAGGTTCAGCACTTTTATTTGATGATCAGTTGATTATGTCTGTATAATCTGTTGCTTCAAAGTTTAGCGGTGGTATCTTGAACAATCTAACTGTAGGTTTAGCATCGGTCTTGTCGGATACCGATCTTGCAGCTAATACACGTCTTAGTGCTAATTGACGAGTGTGGGGCCTTTCATCGGTTGCTATTGATATTAATAGGTTTTCTGGGTGAGCAAAGTATGCATTTTTTTGGATTACAGGATCAACAATTTTCTTGAGCTTGATAGGCAAGTATCTAGTATAATGCACCATTGGAAAGAGATGGCGACTGCCATCCGTTCCAGAATGCTTAGACTTCACTTCAAACCAAATAGGTGCATATACCTTTTGTATGTAAGTTACAAGAATGATCAAGTTTTTGTCTGGCTTTTCTGTAGATACATATAACCGGAGGAAACGACTAGCAGTTGTTATCCATCGAGAATGACACATGGGTCCCGGTTTTCGATTACCCAATTCAAAACCACATTGGCCACTGGATATTGCTTGACATATTTCATGCAAGTACCTTTGATCTGTACTGAGGTCATCTGCATCAATGCTGGACAACACATTTCCTTTAATTGGTTGAAAACTGACAATTGGCAAATCCATGTTCTTCAATAATTTTCCGATTGGACCACTAAATGAATTTGGCCCATATGTAGATCCATCCAGGTTAATCAGGAGATGTCTCAATGGTAACTCATTCATATGTAATAAACATACAAACCAGTATAGGGGTTTGTTGAAACAAAGCTCGAGAAGTCGAATAACACTACCAATATTACCTGAGTTGACATTCGTGCCATCACATCCGATTGCCACCAATGAACTGGTATCAATAGCATTTGCATTCAAAAATGATATAATGCTAATCTTTATACTTTGTAAAGATCCTTGTGATGTTTTAACATGTTCCAGGTATTTAGAACCAGGCTCCTTTATTAACACAACGTGCTCCTCGGTCTCCAAAGCTGGATGATATCTGTTTCGTTTAATGATCTGGCTTTGAGTTTTGTCCTTTCGACCATTGAAATATAACCCTTCCAATGTTTTGGCAGCACCAGCTTGTAAAATTTTTCTCTTTTTCTGTCTTTCTCTACGAATTTTACTTGGGTCAATAACATCAGATGAGTCATGTGCATTAATAATGCCATAATCAAACAAAACAGCCGATGCTAATGCTGCAGCTGAGCGATCCGATACTCCCCATCGATCACATTCACAAGCTAATGTTGGTAGTGGAGTTCGCACTTGAGAGTTCAAAATTTCTTGTGAGCTTGTATTATTAGTTGATGATGGTGACTTAGACAAGTCTGTCATGAAGTCAACATCTTCATTACTTTCTCTTTCGGTGATAGCTTCATCTAAATCACCTAACGTGACATCATTACAATCATCCTCCTAGCTACAATCTGGATGCGATTTCAAAGTTTCAGCATTTGTTATTGATTCACATTTATAAAATCTCAATTCATCTGCAAGTTTTCTTTTCAGTGTCTTTTCCTGCTGCTTTGTTGTTTTAATATTAACGTTGCCAATTGCCATTTTCCTTTCTGATCTTTGATCTGCAAGAAATATTATTTCATTTGGTGGAACTTTACGATTCTTTTCACAAGCACATGTCAAAAAGTCTTTACATTTACATGAAGCAATATCAAAAATTCGATTTGAATCAATTTTGAAGTTTTCAACTTTGTTCAGGTACTGTGACTCCTTGTCCTTGGACCTCTGTTTAAACGGTTTCATAAGTGAGCGATATTTGTCATGGTAATCTCTTATTTTAGTTATTATTTGCTGACGGGATATTGCTGGAATTGATGCTCTGTGTCATATTGTCTCAAGATCAATAGATATCTTCCTGGTTTCTTCATTAATTGTAGCTTCTTTGGCATGGCCATCAGACAATTATTTTCTTACTGATATAAAATGATTCATGATATCTGCATACGTTGGCAAAACATTTGTGCTCATTCGTGAAATGATGCCAAATACTGGGCAGATGTTATCATTGCGAGTGAGTGGTTTCTTCATTCGTACAGTTTCAATCTTTTGTCCCATAATCTAACCATACAAAGACAACACAGCAAAAATAAATAATAATTTTAATAATTAACTGCTAGATTCTGTATTTTTTGTTTGACGCCGTTTGTATTTTACATAATAATACATGCACATTCACTCGCCAGATGGCAGCATTATATCAGCTAATTATATAACACTAAATAATAATATTATTATATCACCCAGTCACACACAAATTTAAAAAAAAGTCTTAGTCTATCTCGGTAGTCCGTGCTCCGAACTCCGTAGTCGGTAGGTCACATTTTGGGGATTTTAGGGAATTTCAATGACCTTGGGGCACCTCAAGATAACTTCATTGAGCATTAAAATTTTTACAGAGTATTTCTGATATGAATAGACAACTTTTGCACACCCAGGCAAAATGAATATCAAACAAACAAAAAAAATTCTAAACTTTTTTCCGTAGGTCACATTTTGGGGATTTTAGGGAATTTCAAAGTCTTTGGGGAACCTCAAGAAAATTTCCTAAAGCATTGCAATTTTTACAGAGTATTTCTGACATGAATAGAAAACTTTTGCACACCCAGGCAAAATGAACTTAAAAAAAAAAATTTTCACTGCACCCTATTGCTCAGTGTGCAAGGATTCATTTTCACATGAGTTTGAGGCCTACATAAAATATTATCGTGTAACAATAATATTC